ACATAACAATACTTCAAAGATCAATTAGGTTTTCCTTTCCTTAATATTTTTGTTTTCGACTTCTAATCTTAAAGACTAGATTAAAACTTAGCTCATTTCCCAGAAGGCATTGCTTCCCTTTGCTCCATGAAAGAGTCCACCAAGAACTCTTCCTCAAAACCATCTAGCCCCCAGCCTCCAGCCTGTGCTTGTGATCTTTCTCAACATCAGCTTGACCAAGCTTGGATTTTTACACTACAGGAATAATAATAATAAATAACCCTTATTTCTCTTTGGTAAAAATGTGTTGATTGTTATGGTTCCTATTTTGAATAAAAAAGATGTGTTTATTTTTACACACACACAACATACAGCATACCTAATTAAAAATATTTTTTTTTTTTTTTTTGGTTTTTCAAGACAGGGTTTCTCTGTGTAGCTTTGCGCCTTTCCTGGGCATAACATCCTTTATACACAGCTTCAGTTCTGTTCTCGTGCCTAGCTCCTTTCTTGCCTGATTTCTCTCTGTATTTATCTACTGTGCCCTCTAAGTTCTATCTTAATTCTCTCATCTTATTCTGCCTCATCTAGGTCCTTCTCATCTCGTTCTTACCCAGCTAGTACTTCCCCATCTGGCTCTTCCTCATCTTTCATCTTGTCCTCAAGTTCTCCAGTCTTCCTCTCCGCCTCCTTATATCTCTAAGTCCTCCCAAATCTCTGAGGTGTTCAGTTATAAACCCAAGCAATAGTGATCCTCTGCCAGAGCAAGGTCACCAGGCTTGAATTCCTACAGGGTCATAAAGGCAGGTAAGAGTTTTCCTCAGGCAGTGACCACCAGGCTTTCTTTTACAACCTGAAGATGGAGTGGTTGAAGGAGGAGGTCAACTGAGAGCTGATGATTGGTTAGTGTATCAAGAAGGGGATCTGTGTGCTCAGCCTACATTCCTAGAGGTGGTTAGGTAAGAAGTTAGGAGTCTATTAGTAAGGCTGTAAGAAAGGAGGGTCTCACCGTAAATTGCACAGGAAATAAAGCTATCTGCCTGACCTAGGAGACAGTGTTGTTTTGTTTGGCCTTGGATGCTTAAGTCTGTTCTTAGAGAATACAGTGGTATCTCTGATAAGATACTTTCATCCCTCTGGGGATGGTCCTGATGCTGCTAATGACAGAAATTACAGGGAGGCTTGAACTGGGGTTCTGGATGTGCATAGCTGTCAGTGTAGAATGTTATCAAAATACTCCATTAGTAGTGGGGAAACGGTGCCCAATAAATGATGGAAAAGCTACAACAGCACACAAGAAACTCATAGCAGAAAAAGGCTGATAATCAAAAGCCAAATATCACCACGGCCCCTTGAGCCTCAGCTTGACCTCTGGAAGGCCCTTGGCTTCTTCCAGGTATTAGCTTTGTCATCATCAGCTGAAATCCTACTTTATATGTTTTTGTGGCTTGTAGCACACCTCCCCATCAGCCATCAGCCCCCCACTTGGGGGCCCACAGAGGCTCCTTAGTGAGACCTTACTCAGGGTCAGAGAATCTGGCTTTGCTTTACCCAGCAGGGCTGCATAAGGAGATGATTTGGCCACACGCGTGTTAACCAGGTGTTTGGAAGGGTCTACACTTGGCTGTGTGGTGTGCTTTGATCTTGCAAGGAGGAGGTCTTTTGCCTCTCTCTTTGGCATATTATAAAAAGCCCTGTTGAATAAAGCTCTGGGCATGACTGGATATTGATCCAAGACCCTCCCAAAGCTATGCTGTATCTCTCTCTCTCCCTCTCTCTCTCTCTCTCTCTCTCTCTCTCTCTCTCTCTCTCTCTCTGTTTTTCGAGACAAGGTTTCTCTGTGTAGTTTTGGTGCCTGTCCTGGATTTCACTCTGTAGACCAGGCTGGCCTCGAACTCACAGAGATCCGCCTGTCTCTGCCTCCTGAATGCTGGTCTTATGGTCTCTGTCTTTCTTTCTACCTAATACTTTCTCATTCCTCTCTCCTCCACCCAAAAACTCTTCGAAAGGTGGGAGAAGGTTGGAGCTGGACTCCCACAAGACCTCACTGTGCAGCCCAGGATGGCCTTGAACTTCATATATAGACCAGGCTGGCATGCAACTAGCAGCAATCCTCCTGCCTCAGCCTCTGGAGTGTTGGAGTTATAGGCATGTGCCACCACACCGGATCAGTGTTCACTGTCTTGTACAACCTATACTTGTAATTAGCTCTGGGACATTCGTCCTCTCCAAAGGGGACCTCTTACCTGTTACCACTGCCTCTCTGCTGGTGTGTGCCTGGCATCTTTGTGGGGCTTCTGTCTTCATGGGATCCGGCTGGACAGCTGAAATCCACTTTCTCTTAAATCTTCTTTTCAAGGTACACCCACACGGTGGTGCCATATCCTCTCGTTTGTTTATTTATTCACTAATTTATTTTTGAGGCAGAATCTTATTACCTAACCTGGCTTGCCTCCCCCCCCCCCCCCGAGACAGGATTTCTCTGTGTAGCTTTGGTGCCTTTCCTGGCTTTTGCTCTGTAGACCAGGCTGGCCTCGAACCCACAGAGATCCGCCTAACTCTGCCTCCTGAGTGATGGGATTAAAGGCGTGTGCCACGGCTGCCTGCCTGGCCCTGGCTGGCCTCTTACATGCTACAGCAAACTGGCTGCAAACTCAGCAATCCCTCTGCCTCGGCCTCAGGAGTGTTAGGATTACAGTCTTGTCACACAAAGCCTGGCTCGTATATTTATTGATTCCGGCCATTTCTTACCATCTGCCTCCCCACGGGGACTTCCTTGGCCTTGCTCTGTGATGGGTGCTGACTCCAGCGCACATTAAATGCACGGTAAATGCACGCTAAATGGTGCTGAATTCAGCCTAGGGGTCTCCTGGCGTCCACCCGGTGCTTCCCCCCCACCCCGACCCCGCACCCCTCCTCACCTGCAGATCTGGTTATGTAGAAACCTCCGGTGGTTGGGCCTGCGCTTGGGGGGCCTGGTACGCCTGGGCTGCAGGGCCCGAAGCATGTGGGCCGAAGCCCCGCTCACAAAGGCGCACAGCTCTCGGGGCCCTGGCTCGGAGACCCCAGGAGCCGCAGGGAAGCCAGGGTGCATGGCTGGTTGCTCTGGAGTTACAATGCAGATCAGAAATCGCCCCTCAAATCAGAGATGGGACAGGAGTGTGTGGTCTCAAGGTCTGGCATTGCAGAATGAGAAGCCACCCCGTCTCACCGCGATGACTGCAGGTGAGGGGCTGTTATAGGACCGCCAGGGCGGGGTGGGGAGGGGACTCTCTACGCATCTCCTACATGCCCAATTAACACATAGTTGGGCCTGGGATATAAAACAGGGGCGCGTGGGTGCGGAGGCAGAGAAAAGCTCCTGGAGATAGCCAATTAAGGGGACAAAAGCCTCTTTAGCAAGGCCAAGGCAAGCGCAGAGTCAACCGGGAGCGATTAATGTCGAGGGCTTTTAGAAGGAGACTTGGGGAGGGGGTGACTGGTGGTTGGAAGAAGGGTCCGGTCTCTGAGAAGGGTGTCAAGCGCCTCCAGGTGTGAGTCAAGAGCTCCACATCAGCCCATCAGCCCCAGGTTCACCCCACTCCAGGGCCTACTTCATTGTTCGGGGGCCAGAATCATTAAGGAGAAATTGATGCCTCGGGTCTCTGGGCTGCAAGAGGAGCCGGCTTCTCAGGGGCTCTGGCTGCTGAATCCTGAGAATGATGCTGTGGGTGAGCAGGGGACCAGGGTAGAGTTCCGAGAAGTGGGGAGAAGAAAACACTGCTGGGGTCCCCCCCCGGGGGGGTTGGTTTAAAGATTTATTTTTATGCGTGTATGTCTGTTGTGAGGGTGTGTGCGTGCCAGTGCAATTTCGGGTAGAGGGTATTGGGTCCCTTGGAGATGGAGTCACAGGCAGCTGTGAGTTGCCTGACGGAGGTCCTGGGGACCTGGGGTTGGCTCCTGGTGTTGAGAGACAGAATCAGCCACTTGTGGCAGGGGTCTGTATTGGGGACAGCCAGGGTCTCCATCTCTCTGGTGCCTCTAGTTATCTTAGAAGTCTTCCTAAACTGAGCAGTGGTGGCGCACGCCTTTAATCCCAGCACTCGGGAGGCAGAGGCAGGCGGATCTTTGTGAGTTTGAGGCCAGCCTGGTCTAAAGAGCGAGTTTCAGAACAGCCAAGGCTCCGCGCGCGCGCGCGCGCGTGCGCGTGCATGTGCGTGTGCGTGTGTGTGTGTGTGTGTGTGTGTGTGTGTGTGTGTGCATGTGTGTGCGTGCGCACATGTGCTTGTGTGCATGTGTGTGTGCACGTGTGTGTACGTGTGTGTGTGAGTGTGTGTGTGTGTTACCAGCTAGTGATGCACATACAGGTATTTTCTCTGCTGATTTAAAGAATTAAAAGCCAGGATGGAAAGGTTTACCCGATCTCTTGAGGCATCCCAGAAGAAACCATCATGATACAGGGGAGGGGAAATCAGGGTCCCCTCAGGGTGTTCTTAGTTTCATTAATAAAAGAATTAAGACTTATATGGAAGCCTTAGGACAACTTATCAGGGTTTATAAAGGAAAACCCCAGGGCAAGCAAGTTGTACATCTGACAGTTGCCAGGAGGAGGATGGAGAAGATGATCATGGAGGTCAGCCACTGGACTGCAGGTAGCCACACAGCAGGAACAAGATTTTTAGAAAAAGACCAAGGAAGCCCAAAGCCAGAGAGCACACTCAAGCTCTGAATCTGATGGGAAAAGAACAAAAATATAGTTAGTTACACTTTTTTAAGGAAAGATACACAGACTGGCTGAACCTCACGGTGGCTCCTGGGACCGCAGCAGTGGGCGAGAATTCTGGGAAGGAAGAACATATTATCTTAAGGTGAACCTGCCTCCCTAGACCTTAAGGAAGGAGACAATGGCTGTCTCTGCCTCCAGATACAGTCCGTTCTTTGCAAATCTTCGTGGGTGGGGAAGGCTGGGATTCCTCTGTAAGGAGTTGCTGGATGTGTACTCTCAGGTCTCTGGAGAGTAGAATGAAAGGCTCAGGCTCCAAGGGCCAGCCAGGGGTCACCGCTGCTGTAGCTAGGACGGCACTCTTGCTAGCCCAACTCCAGAGGCTGACTTGGATTTCTAGTTCCTAGGAGCCAAGAGAAACATCCACCTGCTTTCCCATCCGGTCTGAGCACACACAGCGTGATGCTTGAGGATGTTCCACCAGGGGGCGCTAATGTTCATGCTGATGTAGGGAGGTCTGGCTAAGGGGCCCCTTTTCCTCCTGTCCCATTTTGTGTGAGAATCTCCCAGGGTGGGGACCAGCTTCATGGAGTGTTTGTTGAAGTCCTGCACATTCACATGTACTGCTGAGAATTCACTAGGCCCTCTTTTCGCTGTCCGAGGCCCTCATTGTAAATATGGCAGCTGGGATGGGAAGGTGTCCTGGCGGTCAGGAGCCAAGGAATACTACAAATTCAACCATACAACAAACGTCATTCAAGAGATTTATTGGGGGGTTGGGGATTTAGCTCAGCGGTAGAGCACTTGCCTAACAAGCTCAAGGACCTGGGTTTGGTCCTCAGCTCTGAAAAAAGAGAGAGAGAGATTTATTGGGAAGGAAGAACTCGGGAGGATGGTGAGAAACAGCAGCAAACTGAACAGGGTACAGACCTTTATATAGGGTTTCCTGGGGTGGGGATGTGGAGCTTGCCAGGGTGGCTTGGGATTGGTGGATTTTTGTGGTCTGAATCTGGGGCAAGCTCAGGGATTGGTGGTGAGATTTCAAACCCTGGTCCTGGAGGCAAGTCAGGGCCTGGGTGTTTTTCCTTGGCCCTTTTCACCCTATGCTCACAATGGTGTAGGGGAGTGAATTCAGGAATTCCACACTCACTAAAGACTTCATGTGCAGAGCCCCAGGATGCAGTGGCCAGCAAGACAAGCATGGTCTGTCCCTGTCTCTCAGGATCTGAGAGGGAGGTGTCTACAAACAAGCAAATGAAAAAATGCCAGCTCAGGTGGAGCCCCAAGGGCCCCTCCAAACCAGACAGTGACAAGAAAATGGTGTGTGTGTGTGTGTGTGTGTGTGTGTGTGTGTGTGTGTGTATGTGTGCATGTGCTGCTTCCGTGAGGATGCCCTCCATGAGGGTGTGACCGGCCCTCACTCTGCGATGCACAGGGCTGAGGTCTCACTGAGATTCTAGTACTCTTACAGAGTCACAAGGGAGAGTTAATTCCTTGTATCTATGGGACCCCTGGTCTTCACAGTCAGCAGGGCCTCTGACTTGTAGACCCAATCTTAAGGGGGCCTTGACTGATGACATATGATCCAAGACAGGGCATCCTTCCTACATTAAGGTTCCTCAGAGGGCTGGAGAGACGGCTCAGTGGTTACAAGCACTGGCTGCTCTTCTAGACGACCTGGTCCCAGCAACCACATGGTGGCTCCCAACCATCTACAGTGGGATCTGATGCCCTCTTCTGGCATAAGGGTGTAGATGCAGATAGAGCTCTCATATATATATAGATATCTATATCTATATATATATAGATATATAGATATAAAATAAATAACAAATTCTTAAAAGAAAAACAAGGTTCCCCAGAGAAACAGGATCAATAGGATCAAGTATGTAATCCTTCCGCTGATCTATCAATCATTCTAGAAAGACGTGAACAGATAGATATCTCAACATAGTTGTCTTTCTCCAGGAAGAGATTTTAAAAGAACTAGTTCATGAGATCATGGAATGAAATGGAAAACCAGTGGTTTGGATCCATTCCCTCACCCACCACATAATGTGTGGTCTTCCTTTCCAGCTTTAGTTACACATAATCACTCTTGTTCTTCAAATATCACACAGAAATTTCCAGAAATAAACCATTCATTTTAATCCACGTGCCGTTCTGAGTAGTCTGACAAAATCTTATGCATCCACTCCTCATTGTTCGAAGACAAATTCTTTGTCTAGTGTGTCCATGCTGTATATGCTACCCCCCTGTTAATCACTTAGGAACCATCTCAGTTATCAGGACAGCCCAGTATCAGAGTGCTGGTGTTCCTGTAACCCTTATTTCACCTGCTGAGAGTGGAGCCAGGCTATAAAAAGGCAAACTCATCTGAGAGACTTTCCTCTGAAAAAACAGCACATCTGTCTCTTCAGGGACATCTCCATCACCCTGGTGTCTCCACTACAACCTAGGGTTCTCCTTCATAGCTTCATGGGTTGTCCATTCAAGGGCTCCATGGAGGAAATCTGTCCCTGCCACACACTGCCTGGTCTTCCAGGCTCTTCTCTGGCACCTGGTGCAAGCCTGCATGATGCTGTAAAGCTGAACGAGTGCTCTTTCCATTGTTTAGGGGAATGTTTCCCCAGGCTTAGTCGTGTGGGCAGTCAGAGGCCTCTGCAGCTGTGGTAACAGGGGCCCAGCTCCCTCTCAGAGTGGCAGAACTTGATCTCACAGACCTGCAGAACACAGGAGTTGTGGAGTCGAGCCAGCGGAGTGGGCTGAGTACCACCTAGATGGGGACGGTCAGAAACTCCTACTTCAAGACGCACCTGCGGCCTGCCGTGCAGATGTGGCCTGTGTCTAGTCCCAGCTTGGGGCTGGGAAGAGGCACCCCGATTCTCCTCACCTCATCTCATCCTTTTCTCCCACCTGCACACCCCAGTAGCCCCTGTGACACCCCACAAACCCAATAATGGTTTGGTCCACAGCCACATCAACGTTTATTCGGAGTCTGGGTCCCAGTCTGTGACACTTCTTTGCCCTTTGGTTTCCACCTCGTGAGGGGAACCTGAGCAGACTCCCTCATCTGCCTCTCCTCAGTCGACCCCATGCCCACACCCCTTCCAGCACTCAGAGTTCATTAGCATTTCCAGGACCAGTTCTTTAAGCAGGAGGCACAGCACCCCTCCCCCACCACAGGGCACCCCTCCCCCCCACAGGGCACCCCTCCCCCACCACAGGGCACCCCTCCCCCCCACAGGGCACTCCTCCCCCACCACAGGGCACCCCTCCCCCACCACAGGGCAGGCCTCCAGGTGGACTCTTGCGATTCAGAGAGGAGGGAAATGATGCTCCTCCCATCTTAAGTCAGGGTCTGGAGTCCAGCAAGAGGGGGTTCTGGCCTT